TGAAAGGACATATGAGTCGAGGAATTCATTAGAGAGATAGTCGACAATTGTGCACCGTGCAGAGTCACAGATCTCTTCGATTTGTGTGCGAGATAGGGCTCGAAAGCCAAGACCTTTGGGGTCAGCAAAGACCGAGGGCTCCAAGAATATGATCTTAAGCAGCTTTTCAAACCCCTCAAAGCCAATGCGGGAGTCAAAGGCCTTTCTTATGCAAAGCGCACTCAAAGTGCACGGGAATAGATTGCATATTGAATGGATGCAAAGGTTTTGTATATAAATGGTGTAAGCTCTCTTGTGCTACTTTAGGAAGGAGGGGATTAGATTGCTAGTGTAGCGTTGCGCCAAACAAGGGCGAGAGCAGGCAATACAATTCGAGCAAAAACGGTAACAAGAGTAGGTGGCCTTTTGGAAACATAGTCTCGTAAAATTTTCCAACCTCAAATATAAGGTTGGCAACCTTAGATCTGAGGTCAGCGAGCCCAGATCTTAGGTTGAAGAGTCTAGAGCTCTGATACCATATTAGAAACTCAAAATACTGTAGAGAACTATCTCTTTATTAATTGATTAATCAAGAATATACAAGACCCGTATAAATATAAGGCCAGTAACAATTAAAGATAAATACCAACGGTTATGGATAATTACTAACTAATCTTATCATAATCAAGAGGCACCTAATTAATAGATATATACCCATACAGATACATATTTGTATTGATATGTATTCATAATGATATATATCAATACTAACAAGATATCCATACACTAACAATATTTTCTAAATTTTTCCCTCTAGCCAAATTTAAGTGGTTATCAATTAGAAAGGATAGCTTTGATGTTTTATGTTTAGAAAATATCAATTAAAAGGTCCAATTGCCTTTTATCATTGTAAGGCAAACTAAAGGGCAAGTGTTCATGCCAACTTCAGGCAGAGCTCGATAAAGCTAAAGACATAAACAATTCAAATGAAAAAGAAATTATTCAATGTGTTGAAGACAACCAAAGCTTTGGACGAACTTCGTAGCACCCTTGAGGAAATGGATTTTTTATTGAAAATTTGCCTTTTGTATGAATATGAATATGGAATTTATGAATCATGAATTCACTTTTAGGACTCCTCTGATGACGTTGATAATAAATATGATTACACCTATTATTATGATTCGGACTGCAGTGAAGTGAAGTAGACATGATATTGCAGTAGAGTGAACAATATTTTGTATTTATCATCGATAAAAGAATCATAGCCGCCATCTAGGTGGTTTGTTTTTTTTCTTCTAGCTTGTGTCTTACTGTTGCCTCCTTTATAATGGTGATATTTAATCTGCTCATTGATTCGTCTTGTTAGACTTCCTTGATGCATATTGCCATAAAATAATTCATAATATTGTAAAAAATGATACAATAATTCATTTATTGAAAATTTTGTGCATCGAGTCTAGGCTTACTAATGTAAGATAAGATGTCAAACAATCTCTTTCACACTCTATACATATTTGTATCGAAGATGAGATGTCAAATATGTTTATCTCTACATCCTTCCCTCTCAAAAAATAAATGATACATAGTTATTCCAGTTTAGTTTGAGAAAATCAACCATGATTTGAAATTCATACCATAATGTGCATTCATTAGCTATACATCATGGGTCACCTTGACAAATCAAATGGTATTTAAGTGACCCCTAATTTGCTGGAGGGATCTAGAATGGTGTTTTTAGATGAGTCCCTAAAATTCTTGAACACGGGATGGGTTTATATGGAGGTAAAGTATATATAATGAGACCATCTACATTTCGTATAAGGTTGTTACAATTAATCTTGAATATTGGATGTGGAATTGGGTGGTTATATTTATTTTATTGACCAAGCATAAATTTCAAAAGAATTTTTTTGAGACTTTGTGATACACCCAAGATATCTGATTTCACATCGAATGATTATAAATAATTGTAACCTCCTTGTACCAAAGATAAATGGTCTTATTGTATACGATCCCTTATGCGGGTTGCATTGAGTCACTTTAAGCCATGTGAGCTATCTACTAGCTTTCGTGGTGCACCTACGTTTCATGACTAATCATGATCCAAATAGTGTATAAATTGCCGAACTATTGGATTGAGTAAATTACAATGTTACAATGGTATTGGACGGTGTAAATTACATTGTTACTATGGTACTGGATGGTGTAAATTACATTGTTACTATGGTGGGAAAATTTTCTATACTTCCCCTATTATATGAAAATTCTATACTTCCCCCACCCAGCCGTCCAATTTAGATCAAATAAGTCACTGACCATTTTATTTAGGTTTGATACCTCGGAGTATTTTATTTTCAGTTTTTATTCTACCAATTATATGAATATGAAATTTGCTATGTGTCATCGTCTCAATGGGGAGTAGCTGAAAAATATATGAAAATAATATTTCCAATTCAAGGGTATTTTGGTTAATTTTATTTTGTCAAAAATATTGATTTTATATATTTTGTAAGTGTGAGCTTCACAGAGGAGTAGGCACCCAAAATTTCGTGTCAATTGTTTTGAAGAACAAAATTTCGTGTCAAATGTTTTGAAGAAAAAATAAATAAATAAATCAGTGTAGAGGTATGGCATTATAAGTGGATCGATCTTTGTCGTTCATTCATATATGAATGGGAAGTATATAACTATTATACATTGGGGGAAGTATAGAAAGGTTGTCCTAATATAGTACTCAAGTGTTGAAGTTCTTGAGGGATTTTCAGGATGACTTTCGACTGATTTTATCCCAAAGTTATTTGACAGTGAGAAGTTCGGTATTCTTTTCTACTCATTGAATGCCGAGGTCTCATAGCAGGGATTAGTTTAATATGTACTATAAAAAAAATAGTATTATTATTATTATTATTATTATTATTATTTTTACAATTCAAAAGTTATAAAAAATAATTGAATTACAAAATTGTATAGTTTCAGATCTTGAAAATTTGAACTATGGACAATATGATCTTTTTAAAATTCTATGTAAAAAAAAACAAAATTATTAACTACACTTTAGGAAAATTTATAACCCCTTTACTCAACTCTCTAGCTATTGCCCCTTATTTTTAAACTGCATTGTAAATTCTGTTTTCCTTTTTCTTCCCCCCAATTCAAAAAGTTATTCTTTTTTTGATGAAAAACACCCCTTTCAAAACACTCATTTCTCTTTATTCTTTTCTTTTTTTTTGAAGTCAGTCCGACACACTATTGCCGGACTGGCATTCATAGGGACTGGTAGCAGCTGTATGCCGAACCGGCATCTTTGTTATAATAACCACGCTGGATTGGCTTCAATAACGAAAAATAAATTAAAAAGAGAGAAACATGAATTTGAAAAAGTGTCTTTTCATCCAAATAATTTACTTTTTTTACTTGATGCAACTCAAACTAGTGTTAGGATTAGTGATGTGGTTAAGAAGTCTTTGGGGTGGCATGCCTAAAAACATACACCACCACCCTCGAGGGGCACCTAGACATACACATAGACAAATATATGAGAGAGAGATGGAAATTTATCAAAATTGTCACAAAGAGATGAACAATTTTATAGTTTCATATTTTTTAGATCATGAAAGTTTGAAATATGGACAATATGATCTTTTTAAAAATTTACTAAAAATGGGTATGAACGTAAAAATAAAAAATTAGGTAAATTTTAGGGAAAATTTTAGCCCTTTTATTTAACTTTCTAGCCATTGGTTACTCTCTTTCTTTTTCACCCCCTCTAAATAAATAAATAAATAAATAATTTAAAGACAAACATCCCTTTCAAAACACACATTTCTCTACTTTTTTTCATTTGAAATTTTGTTTGTTTGAAATCGGTATGAAACATTGGTATCAGACCGGCTTTCAAAGGGACTGTAAGCTTTATGCCGAACCAGCATCTTTGTTATAATGATTGTGCCTGATTGGCTTAAATAAGACAAATAACTAAAAAGGAAAGAAACGTGAATTTGAAAAGTTGCATTTTTATCTAAAAAAAAATGTTTCCAAAATAGTGTTGGAATTAGTGATGTGGTTTAAGAAGTTTTAGAGGTGATATGCTTAGAAAGTTTTAAGTGTTTTATCGAAAGTGTAATAAACAAGGCAAAGTTGACAGGACATGTTCTTTCTCTATATGTAGATGGTACATGACCTTCCCATTCTTAAACATCGCTGACTTTATCTCTTTAAACAAAGGCAAGTCTGGCGCTTGAGTTTTTATTATTCTCCTGCATTTGAGAAGGCTGGAAAATTGTTGGATCTTCTAGTTTCGGTACTCTGTGGCTAGATAACCTTCACTCACCCTGAACATTTAAAAAGAAGAATAAAGAGAGAACAATAAAACATTAATCACCGTGACTTTTATCACTAGGGGCAAAAGGTATCTTATATAGAGCGATTACTCGTGATTGGAAGTGACAAGATTTAATGTCCTCTAATAGTTTGATGATTTGCTTCATTAAACTGCTTGGGCGAAACAAATCTTGCCCAATGGAGAATTGGTCGGAGAAGTGACAACTTATACTTTTAAACAGGAAAAAGATGGATTGTTTTGTGAAATAATCTTTTAGCCTATAAGAAGTGGAATTTGTGCTTGTGGAAATTACCGAGTCGTCGGCAGAGTGTGCAGAAAAACACTTATGGACGGTGATATTTTATCTCTAGGGGCAAAAGATATTTTAGAGATAGAGGGAGAGAGAGCAGAAAAACGTTTATGCACTGTGACATTTTATCTCTAAAGGCAAAAGGTATCTTGCACATAAGAAAATCGGGTGTCTTCTAATAGTTTGATGAATTGCGTCAGGCATTTAAGCCCCATTTCACTCACCTCATTCCAACAATCTTAACACCCAAGCTCCATGTTCAAAAACTTGGGGGCGGCACCAGGGTCAGGGTGAGGGTGGGGGGGGGGCGGGTTGGGAAGAGAGAGAGAGATTTTGTTTATGTATATTAAGTAACGTTTGTCCCAAAAAAGGATTTTGATGTGTATGTGTAAGTTGAAGTCTCTCATTGTTGGATAATCCAATCTCACCAATCACATTTTACACAAAGGACATGATTATCGACATTTCGTGGCATAAAAACTATTACAAGGGATGCCATACTATGATCCATACGCCTTAGGAAATAGTAGGGCTATATGCAGCATCACCGTCCCATTGCCTAATTCTAGACCAAGAAAACCCACATGGAAAGAACTCCGAAAATGGCCCATTTGAATGAGCCGTGGTGACTCGGCCCGGCATTGTGGTGGTGCGCACCATTTGAAGGCCGCCATCGGCTTCTGCTGCCTCCTCCAAATCGGCGGAGAATTCGGTGATCGCCTCCAAATTTGCGGCCAAATTCAGTAGCCACTTTGAGCGCCAAAACTTTGCGGCCGAATTGAGCTCCAAGTATTGACCCTTCTTCCACCTTCATCGTGGTTCCTGAAAACAAAAATGTGCAGATCTTCAAAATTTTGCATGCTCATAAAAGAGGGAAGGGTTGTCAAAATTGAGGTTAAAATTTTCATTTCGTCCCGCCGGAACAGAAACAAAAAGAAGGGTTTATTCAAAAGTGAGGCAGCTAAGAGAGCTTTACTTACCATGTTGGGTCTGCAGAGGAGTGTTGGGGATAGCTTTCGTCAGATAAAAAAAGAGAGAGAAGACGAGAAAAACAACTGTAACTGCTTTAATCCCCATCTTTTCTCTCGTTCTCTTTTTTGTTGTTCTCTCCCTTCCTATCTATAGGTTTTTTTTTTTCTTTTTTTTTTCTTTTTTTTTGGGATATTTTGTTTCTTTCCCCCTTTTCACTCTTCTAAAGAGAGTGGGTGCTTCTGACTGTTAGGTGGAGAGAGTGGGTTGAGAAATGAGAGCATTTTGTGATGTAAGGCGGAGAGAGTGCGTTGAGAAATGAGAGCATTTTGTGATATATATATATATATAATAAAAAAGTGGCAATCATTGATGGCTTTTACGACGAGGAGCTGTCCGATTTGACGTTGTCGCCACTGTAAAGCGTTGGACGCGCTTGAAATTGATTGGATTAATTGAGGCCGTAGTCAAAATTGTTTCCATTCAGCAGCTTCTTTGTTGGACAGATAATATTAAATACTAACTTTTTATGTATTATTTTTGTGAGAATATAGAGTTTATGGAAAATTTAAATTTATGAAATCAAAGGCACCGGATTATCATGCTCTAACCGATATCCCCCGAGTCAGATCGGAATAAGATGCATATTTCTAGGAATCCAATAATTTTGTAAATCGTTTTTCTTTTTTTCTTTTTTTTAAAATATAACAAATTTGGCTCAAAACTCGTCCAAGACAGACTGTGCGAATCGGAGTTGGCCCCTCATGAGCTGGACCTGATTCCCATTCTGAAATATTTCTCTTTGAATTAAGATGACCCCTAGTGTCTTGCATACTAGTTGCGAGGATTTTTAATCCGGATTGTATATTAGGAGACAATTCATTTTTCGTATAAGAAGGTTACATTCACTTTTAATTGTGTAACCCAATAGATGAAAATACGTCGTAACATTTGAAAATTTTTATTTTGGACTTTTGTTCCCAAACAATGGTATATCTTCAATCACCAGATTTTCAATCTTACGGTTATTGATGTGGAAATGATGTGGTATATCCTTATATCAAAAGTAATTTCTCTCATTGTATAAATTTTATTCTTACTCGAAATTGATGTGGAAATGAGTCCAAATTAAACTGAACATACTAAGATGTACAGAAAGAGGATGTGGGAGTAGTTTGTATAGAGCCGAGGCTCAAAACAATCAAAGTAAAGCGCACCTTCACTGAGTGTTGAGAAATGTAGTTTTCATATTGGAAATCTTTATGATAGTCTTAAAATATATTTTTTTATATTTAATTATACAATTTAAAGCTTCAAAAATCTTGCGGATCAAGCAGATCAATGAAAACTTGAAAATCTTTAAAATTGATGGTCCAAAAAATGCATTACAAGATGAACTATTTTTAAAACTTGAAATCTATTTCTTTCGCATGTCCATGCATCTTGATGTCAAGATGATTAATTTGAATAATATTTGGGCACCATAACAACCTCTTCTAATGAAATTTTTGAGGTGGCCTCTAATTTGATTGTTTAGAGCTAGGCTCTATATAAACTTTTTCCATAGAAAAAAGACAAAATTTGGATGAAGTTTCTATAAAGCCTAGGCTTTATGAAAAAAAAAATAAAACCTTGCCTCGAATGCTTGTCCAGAAAGCACTTTGGGCATTGAAAATATGCATGACGACTCTAAAGTCAATTTCCAATACTGACTATATAATCTGAAGCTCAGAAAATGGTACAGATCTTGCAGATCCAAGTACACTTATTTTAAAGATGCAATTGATGATCTAGATAGTGTGTTACAATACGATATTTTTAGAACTTATAAATTTTAGTTTGATAGGACTATCGCCCTATCAAAACAGTTTCCTTGTAAATTTGCATGCTAAACTACATGTAGTAAAAAGGTCTTTCTGCATAGCAAAAACCCTAGTGAATTTTACCCATGATTTTGCAATGCTTTAGTGTCAATATTATTGCAAATTAGGTTAGCCTAGTCGATAAGTGATTGGGTGCAGGTCGATAAATGATTGGGTGTGGTTTATGTAGAGCGGACGCTTAAAACAATCAAAGTTGAATGAACCTTCAAATAATACTGAGAAATATGGTTTCAAGACTATAAATCTTTATGATAGTTTTAAAATATATTTTATCTTTAATTATAAAATTTAAAGCTTCAAAATTTGAGCATTGTTATGGAAAACTTGAAATCTTGAAAATTGACAATTCAAAAACGTGTTACAAGATTTACCATTTCCATAACTTGAAATCCATTTTTTTCTCATGTCCATGCATCATGATGTAGAGTTGATCAATTTAAAGATATTTGGGCATCAAAACTATCTTGTGAAAATTTTGATGTGGGCTCTAATAATTTAATGTTTTAGAGCCAAACTCTATATAAACTTTTTTTCTAAATAAACTTTTTTTCTAAATAATTTCAATATTTATATAGGGAAGATATAAAAAGTTACAATAATCATACAATAGCAATTTGTGACAGCTTACAGCAAAAACAAAACGGAAAGGTTTCTATAATCCCCCTATAGCATAGAAGATCTATGCTTCCTCTACCATCCAGCCATCTAATTTTGATCAAGAGAGCCAATCACTGTTTGATCTTAGATCCGGCGTCTCAAAGTATTTTATTTTTAGTTTCCTTTTATGAGAATTGTATGTTATGAAATTATTTTTAGTTTTTTTATAAAATTTGTATATATATAAAATTTGGTACGTGCCATCTTCTTATTAGAGAGCACCTATAAAAAATATTAAAACTAATTTTTCGATAAAATATAATAACCAAAATACCCCTTGAATCTTTCAAGGGTATTTTGGTTATTTTATTTATTGGAAATATTTTTTATATTTTATAAAAAAAATTAAAAATAAAATAGTGTAGAGACAAAACAATTTATAAAAAAAATTAAAAATAAAATAGTGTAGAGACATGATTGGGACAATCTTAGCCCTCCATTCATAATGGAGGTTTGGATAAGAGGAAAGGATATAAATGTAATGAGGTAGGGAAAGCGTAACAGATCGGATAGATATCACCTACCTTTCTAATTTTATACGTTTCATCGAGATGTGTACGTACCAAAAAAAAAGCTTAGTGATAATCACCCCAATAGGAGGTGCTTTTTTTTCTAATTTTATACTTTTCCTTATCTAAATGTAGATGTGCGCGTACCGAAAACAGCTTGCTCATAATCACTCCAATAGGTGGTGCTTTTTTTTTTTTTTCATAAAATTCCAAAATACGTGATAGAATGTTTTCTTTGCAAGGTTTTGCTTAGGGGTGGCAACAGGACGGCTCCGGTCAGACCGGTATAATGTGGGACCCCCAAACAAGACCAAAAAATTTAAATATCTAGATATATAACTATATTTAAATATATTTTATGTAATGAGATCCAAAAAATATTTCGAAACCCATATCCAATTTGGATCCAAAATTTGGGCTTAGACCAAAATAGTTTAGTTTTGTTTTGCTCCGGTGAAAGAAAATATTCCTAACCTTTTCAAATCAATTCATAAAAAGATAAAGAGATGAAGTCACATAGCCATCCATTAGTCCGTGCTAAAAGTGGTTGTCTTAATAAAGATACAGGAGGATTTAAGATACGGATTCTCAAAATCAAACCCTCAAAAAGCAAATCCTCACCTCAATAAGAGAGAGAAGGACCATTTATGATCAAACTTCCCAAACAGGATTTATCACCTAAATCCAACAAATCACCCCAAAAAAAACCATATCCAAGTAAAACACCCCAATCTTTATTCGAAAGAAGATTATGGCCCCGTCTCTCTTTCCTGGGCCACCACCATGACCACCACCAAATCCTCCATGGCCGCCTCCTCTCAGAAAAGGCCTTAGAATAGTCTGGCCACCTTCTTCTTCCACTAATTCTTCCCCAACTTCGCCGCCAACTTTGGTGGTGCTCTCAACCACTGGAAATCCCTCGCCAATTATGGAGGCAGTTTCAGAATCTGGAGATTTCGAGTCGATGAAGTCTCGAACACTAGATATTTCATATCAAAGTTGGGTTTGGTTTTGAATCCTTGGTCCTCCTCTGTTGCCGCTTCTGCAATACAGTAAATGGAGGAGTCAGTTAATGTTTTCTTTAGAGAGAAAAAGGTGAAAGAAATTGGTACTGGGAACTGTTACCTTCGAAGAGATGGGCGATGGAAAATCTTATATTTTAATTTTGGAAAAAATAAGAGAGAAATAAAAGTTGGGAGAATCAAAAAGGGATCTGAGAGCATTACTTACCATTCTTTGACAGAGTGAAAAAAGAAGGATAGCACTTGCAAGTGCAACTCCATTGCTCCCCATCCTCTTTCTCTCTCTCTCTCCTATCCCTCACACACCCTCTTCTATTTACTCTCTGGCTTTGAGTTTCTCTCTCTGGCTCTGAGTTTCTCTCTTCCTATATATATATAATTGCAGTAAAATCTTGATTTCATGAAGACGGGATAACTGATAAACCGTTGAATGGTCTCCAAGCGAATCAACCTTCGATTCCGCGATTGATATATATTCGATTACGCGGGATGATTTTGGTTTCAAGGCTCCAAATATTGATTGAGAACTTTCTGTGTAGTTTCCTAAAACTTTGGGCTGCAACATAGCTAATCACAAGGCAAATGCTTTTGTGCCTCATTGTTGGGCAGTACGAAAAATAGGGACTAACTGCCCGGTTAGATCGGACTTGGTCAGTTCTGTTTTCGGCAGATTTGGGTGAAGTGGTTGGGTATTTTAAAGAAAATTCAAACAAAATATATAAAATCTCAAAAAGAAAAAATTATAATCTTTTTTAAAAAAAATTAGAAATTGGTTTGGTACCTATTTTTATATTTTCCCATTTTTTTTTTAAATTTTCAAAAATACTATTGAGCACAAATTGTTCGTTTTTTTCATTTCTTTTCAACTTGATTTGGATGTTTTGTTTATTCATGCTATAAATAATTTTTCATATTTTATTATATCTTTTTAACTATTTTTATTTCTTAACACTTTTTTACTACGGGGCGGGTTGAACCAACGATTTATCGGTTAGGCTAAGTTAAACAGATTTGTTTAACCGTTCTGATTCGATTTTTTCTATACGATTAAGTATTTTATTTTAAAAATTTTGAGTTTCATAGAAATAATATGCTTTTGGCCGTTATTTGTGCTTGTGTGCGCTTCTCCGAATTTAGTTTATTTTTATCTCGAATAATTTCACTTTTGGATGAACTTGTTTTTGGAAATCTGTGTGGTAAGTGATGAGAAAGTTGTGAACGAATACGTGT